TTCAGAGACTTATCCCGAAGCCACTCCTGCGTTATCTTGTCTGTGTGCTAACGGTCGTTGTCCTGTTGGAAGGTGAACCTTCGCCCCAGTCTGAGGTTCTGAGCGCTCTGGAGCAGGTTTTCATCAAGGATCTCTCTGTACTTTGCTCCGGTCATCTTTCCCTTGATCCTAACTAGTCTCCCAGTCCCTGCCACTGAAAAACATCCCCACAGCATGATGCTGCTACCACCATGCTTCACCGTAGGGATAGTTCCAGCTTTGCTCTAGACGTGACGCTTGGCATTCAGGCCAAATAGTTCAATCTTGGTTTCATCAGACCAGAGAATCTTGTTTCTCATGGTCTGAGAGTCTTTAGGTAACTTTTGGCAAACTCCAAGTGGGCTGTCATGTGCCTTTTACTGAGGAGTGCCTTCCATCTGGCCACTCTACCATAAAGGCCTGATTGGTGGAGTGCTTCAGAGATGGTTGTCCTTCTGGAAGGTTCTGCCATCTCCACAGAGGAACTCTGGAGTTCTGTCAGAGTGTCCATTTCGTTCTTGGTCACCTCCCTTACCAAGGCCCTTCTCCCCCGATTGTTCAGTTTGGCCGGGCGGCCAGCTCTAGGAAGAGTCTTGGTGGTTCCAAACTTCTTCCATTTAAGAATGATGGAGGCCATTGTGTTCTTGGGGACCTTTAATGCTACAGACATTTTTTGGTACCCTTCCTCAGATCTGTGCCTCGACACAATCCTGTCTCGGAGCTCTACGGACAATTCCTTCGACCTCATGGCTTGGTTTTTGCTCTGACATGCACTGTCAACTGTGGGACCTTTATATAGACTGATGTGTGCCTTTCCAAATCATGTCCAATCAATTGAATTTACCACAGGTGGACTCCAATCAAGTTGTAGAAACATCTCAAGGATGATCAATGGAAACAGGATGCACCTGAGCTCAATTTCGAGTCTCATAGCAAAGGGTCTGAATACTTATGTAAATTAGGTATTTCTGTTTTTTATTTTGAATACATTTGCAAAAGAAAATGTAAACCTGTTTTTGCTTTGTCATTATGGGGTATTGTGTGTAGATTGCTGATCAATATATATATATATATTTTAGATTAAGGCTGTAACGTAACAAAATGTGGAAAAAGTCAAGGGGTCTGAATACTTTCTGAAGGCATACATGTAACGTAATCAATAAGTTCTAGTATGGTAACATTAATAAGTATATTTCAAGCTAGAATCCAACAGTCTCTCCTTTTTGAATAGTAACTCCATACTGTTCAACATTATATAAACTTGGAAATTACTTATAAATGAACACACTCTTAATCCCCCTCCTATTGCACAACTGATAATGACATTTCAGCTGGAGCTTTTGACTTTCTCATTTTCCTCCTTCGGGTTCCTAAGAGAGTGATAGCACATGACTTGAAAAGAAAAAGAAAACACACAACATAACACGTATTAATAATGCGTTAAGCAATGCATAATTACATATGCAACAAAATACGAGGTTTGATAACATGACGGCCACTCTCTCTTTAGCCTGACTCTATACCTTCGGGATACTGTTCTGCTGGGGTCCACAAAAATGAAGGCCCTAAAAAACCTCCCCATGCTTTCACCCAGTCTTCCCCCGTTAGGCCACAGGTTACAAAAGTTCCAACGCCATATCATCTTCACTTTGCACCCATCTCCTTCTTCCTCCATGGCCACCTGATATACACGTGCGGTGGCCTTAATCAACTTTACCTCATCTTGTGGTAAATCAGCACTGTATACATGTTTCAACATCAACGCCTTCAGAAGGTGATATTTTGGTACCCCTTCCTCAGATCTGTGCCTCGACACAATCCTGTCTCGGAGCTCTACGGACAATTCCTTCGACCTCATGGCTTGGTTTTTGCTCTGACATGCACTGTCAACTGTGGGACCTTGATATAGACTGATGTGTGCCTTTCCAAATCATGTCCAATCAATTGAATTTACCACAGGTGGACTCCAATCAAGTTGTAGAAACATCTCAAGGATGATCAATGGAAACAGGATGCACCTGAGCTCAATTTCGAGTCTCATAGCAAAGGGTCTGAATACTTATGTAAATAAGTTATTTCTGTTTTTTGTATTTAAATCATTTGCAAACATTTCTAAAAACCTGATTTCACTTTGTCATTATGGGGTATTGTGTGTAGATTAATGAGGACATTTTAAAAAAAAATCCATTTTAGAGTAAGGCTGTAACGTAACAAAATGTGGAAAAAGTCAAGGGGTCTGAAAACTTTCCGAATGCACTTCAAAACTTTCAAAACTATCATGTCAATCAACTGCATCCATAGCCTCTGTCTCCGTAGCCTCTGTAGCCACCCTTGAATAGTGCGTACGCCACAGTACATCCCTGGGGCCAAGCTTCCTGAGATCCAGGACCTCTATACCAGGCGGTGTCAGAGGAAGGCCCTAATAATTGCCAAAGACTCCAGCCACCCTAGTCATAGACTGATCTCTCTGCTACCGCACGGCAAGCGGTACCGAAGCGCCAAGTCTAGGTCCAAAAGGCTTCTTAACAGCTTCTACCCCCAAGCCATAAGACTGCTGAACAGATAATCAAATGGCTACCCGGACTATTTGCATTGATCCCCCCCTTTTTTTATGCTGCTGCTACTCGCTGTTTATTGTCTATGCATAATCACTTTACCCCTACCTACAGTGCCTTGCAAAAGTTAACTCTACCTACATGTACATTTTACCTCAATTACCTCGACTAACCTGTACCCCCGCACATTGACTCGGTATCGGTACCCCCTGTATATAGCCTCGTTATTGTTATTTTATTGTTGCTCTTACATTTTTTTACTTTAGTTTATTTATTAATATTTTCTTAACTCTTAATTTTCTTAAAACTGCATTGTTGGTTAAGGGCTTGTAAGTAAGCATTTCATGGTAAGGTCTACACCTGTTGTATTCGGCGCATGTGACAAATAACATTTGATTTGAGCTTACCAACCACAATTTCAGGGTCAGGCAGTTGAAATTACAGATAGTCCCTTTAAGGCAAAGCTATATTTAATTATACACTCAAACAGTAAAATCACTTTGTCAAATAATCTAAGAGAAGTAATGTCGTCAGGCAATGCATGATTAAGTAGGGTGGCTGGTAGCCTGGCAGGCAGGAGCGTTGGGCCAGTTACCGAAAGGTTACTGGATGGGCAAGGCAGTTCTGAGCAAGGCAGTTAACCCACTGTTTCCCGGGCGATGATGACGTGGATGTCGATTAAGGCAGACCCCCGCACATCTCTGATTCAGAGGGGTTGGGTTAAATGCAGAAGACACATTTCAGTTGAATGCATTCAGTTGTATAACTGACTAGGTATCCCCCTTCCCCTTTTTAAGTTTGGTTATAATTCCAAAATGTTTCAATCTATTTGATAATGACTTTCATAGCATCAACTGGTTAAATTAAATGGAAATCTTCATATCCCAATGCCTTTTTTTCTTCGTGTTCTATTGGTTTGACCACCAGTAAAGACAATGACAGATTTGACTCATTTGGGTTGTGACGATGTCCAGGATAGGTTACTTGCACATGTGATAACTCCATCCTTGTACCAGTCTATGAATGACGCAGTTCTATTTAATTATCACACATATTTATCTGGAAAGCCAAACAGGTATGGCATGTTTAATTAAATACATGCTTTCTTTCCTATTCCGTCATCTCCGAGTAAACAGCCTAGGCGTTGCCTGTTGGCCAAGCTTACAGCCTCAGAGGAGGGGAAGAGACCATCATTGATTGGAAAGCACAATATGAAAACATGCATATATTGATCGAGTGAGGAAATAATGTGAAAAATAATATACTGTTTAGATAAACATCATAAAATGTGGTGTCTCAATTATAACTGCCACCATTTTGAAATAGCCTTTCATTTGATTATTCTGGTGAATCTTACCTTTATCCAAACTTGATTCATTGTAGTTTACTTTTCATTTTGTTTTCCAGATACATTTATTAAGACTTCATTGAGCATTTATAACGTGCAATCAAATATATACTTTGGCTTTGACAATTTGCTTTGTATCACATACGCTTGTAGTGGCAACATGTTATTTATGTGGGTCAAGAAGATTTGAGGCATTTGAGCCACAATGATGCCGATCTTGCTCTCTTAATCTCATCTTTGCCTCTTTCTGTTAATCATTTCCTCTCCTTGGTTAGAAGCAAACCAACCCTACACAGAGGTTGTGTCACAAATGGCACCCTAGGCTATTCCCTATATAGTGCACTACTTTAGACTAGAGCCCTATGAGTCCTCGTCAAAAGTAGCGCACTACGTAGGGAATAGCGTGCCATTTGGGACACAGACAGAGCCTTGCTACAGCCAAAGAGGAAATTAAAGGTGAGGCGAGATAGCTCTTGCCCTATACCAGACAACAGCTGATTGGCTGATACAGGGAGACAAACTAGAAGAGAGGATATTACATGTTACAGCATTTGAACTAAAAGCTCTGAGCTATTATGAGCTCTGAACAAGCATTGTCCTCTAGTCGAGCCATGTGAATGAAATAATCCGCTTTCATGATCGTGGATAGGTTATATTAAGCAATTAGGAATAGGCCTAGGAATAAACAATGTTATAGATCTAGACTAATTAGTTATCCGGAAGCACATTGAACATATCTTGACGTTCATATTTCAAACATTGAAAGCCACTGATTCATACGGTAGGCTCAACAAATGAACATAAACGTAGCCACAATCAAATGCCAAATGTATGTAAAGACATCATTTTCAAGCTTATAGTAGGTTTTAATGTTTTTTGAGCCTGCACAAGTGTTACTTTTACCTCTTAGTACATTAAGCGAAATGATTCACAGAAATCTGACAGAGAGTAACTGAAAGTAACCAAGTTCATGCGCGCGCACACACACACACACACACACACACACACACACACACACACACACACACACACACACACACACACACACACACACACACACACACACACACACACACACACACACACACACACACACATCAGACAACTTGGATTCAATAAATAAAATGCAAACACTACTGTCACTATACATGCCATATTAAAAACACAGGGGCCATTGTTTGTTATTTCAAGTAATAAACTAAGTACTGAGGTCATTAGGAAACGTTGAATACAGATAAGTGTGACACCAAATGCCTTTTCTAGACTTCATGTCAATTCAAAGGCAATATCAACAATTTAGAGACATCACAATGCCTCTGCTCTTTCACTGTCAAAATAAATTTAAAATAAATGTGTGTGTCGTGTTGTCAAAGAGCATGTTACTCCTCCGTTTCCTCCTCGCTCTCGTCACTCAAAGGGAACTCTCGACACTCCTTCTGTGTGTTGTAGCTCTTCCTGTGCAGAGGGCACTCCTGGTCTATGATGGTCTACAAGACACACAAGACATTTGTAAAACATTATCATGGGCCGTAAGAAATTACCTGATTTCGGGGGATACAATTATTTTACAATAGTAGGAAATCATCTTTGTTTTCATATTTGACTCTTATACTCTTATTATTAAATAATTATTTGGATTTCATAATATTATTATTATTATTATTATTTTTAAATAATTTATTCCTTATATTTTCTGTTATGACTGTATCTTTGAAGTGCATGACCATCATCTTTGAAACCATGGTCATAATTATTCGGTAAAAACCCACATCAATAAGAGGCACTATGTTTTCTACAATTATACCTTTGGCTAATACACCTTCCCACTATATGTGAGGGCTGATTCTCTGTTACCTGGCACTGATACAAACACATTGGATTGCAAACCTCACCTCCCAGGATGTGTTAGAACGCGTTGGGCCAGACATTCTGGTGGGTCTGGATTATGACTGGAGCCAGGGGATAGCAAATAGGAAATACCACTCACCATCTTCTCCTCCCTGATGGCAGGGTTACGCAGGAAGAAGCACAGGGGAGCGTAGAAGATATTGATGATGCCAATGAATACCATGAGGTAAGGGAATCCAATGGCCCTGACCAAGGCGCCCCCTATCGAAGGACCTGAATCACAACAACACGGGAGACAGAGGGTGCTGCTGGGTCAGACAAGCTAGACAAAGTTGAATCGCTGAGACCACCTGGCTGGGAGTATCTGGGTCATACAATTCAAGTGATTTACTGTATTTGCTGTATTTGTGTAGAAGCAGACGACAAAGGAATGATCACTCACCAATGGCAAAACCCATACACAATGCGACATCAGCTATGGCGTAAACACTGCCGTAGACCGAGGCATGGCGAATATCCACCAGGTATCCCATTATGGCCATCATAGAGGAGTCCACCATTCCTAACACACACACAGCAGACAGTTCATAGTTGTCATGGTGATTCAGACCATCATTCATATGTGTTTCTATATAACACATTGGCACCCACCAATAGCAAACCCCAGGCCTGCATTTGGACCAATAAGACCATAGATGTTCTTTGCAAAAGGAACCTATAGGACAAGAAATATGATGGTTATTCATTGAACTACCTTATGATCTTGCAGAGCCAGAAAACTGCATAGGAATTAATACTCACGCAAAGGAGACTGACGCCAACAATAAACATCCCAATCATAGAGCACAGCCACCTGAGGAGAGAAAAATACCATCTCCTTACTGCGAATCATCATCTTACACACACACACACACACACACACAGTATATATATAGACACTAACACACCGATTCACACAACCCCCATAGGCTTACATGAGATGTCCTTTACTGAGTGACTAGCATTAAAGAGATGGTGAAATGTTTTTACATATTGATCATTGATAGGTAGGAACAAATAGAGGCAAACGGGAGAGGATAAACAAAAACCTACCTTCCCATTTTGTTAGCCAACAAACCAAATAAATTGGTGCCGATAAGATAAGAAATGCTTGCTGGTAGGAAAGCCATACCTATAAATCAAACGCAAAACACTGTCAGACAAAGGAAAGACTATTGCAATCCATACGATTTATTGGAAAGAAAGAAACATAACGCAGGAACGTACCAAGCTGCCATTTGGGAGAGCACATAGTCTGCATCATCCAGATGGGAAGCGTGGGCTCCAGAATGGCAACTCCCATGTTGGCGAAGCACAGAGAGCCTGAAACCAAAGCACCAAGGTCAGCTCACTTCTGTTTTAGGACTATGGTTGCGTCCCAAATGGCACCGTAATCCCTATTTAGTGCACTACTTCACCCATTGGGCCCTGGTCAAAAGTAGTGCACTAATAGGGAATAGGGTGCCATTAGAGACACATCCTCTGTGTTTAGCCTTCCTCTCTGGTTTGTTATTCTAACAGTCAAGGCCCAGTCTCACCTGCACTTATGAGAATGTAGGGGTCCTTCAGTAGGGTCAGCAAAGGAGTGCCCTCAACACTCTGTAAGTTAATGTGAAATGTTAAGCCAGAAGAGACAGAAAGACAGAGCAAACTTCAGTTTTTTCTAACTTGAGGAGGTTGTGAAATGTCAACATTCTAAAATAAGACAGCATGTGTAACTTAATGCAATGATGGCTTCTGTTCGGTGCATCTTGAACTACATTGATTCATACACACTCTGGCTCAATCTGAATTTGTCCTTGCCTCCTACTCTACATTATTGGAAGAGAAGGTCCAAGGTCCCTCGCCTCAGGCCTTCTTCTCTAATGCATTTTGTGAAGGAGGTGGGACATAGCATTCGAGGAATCAAGGAAAGATTAATTGAGATATAACCCCACTATTTGCAGTGATTGGGATTTTAGCAACTCAGTTATGTTCATTTTGAGAGTGTAAAAAAAAAATTGATCTTGAAAGAGATGGTAAAAGTATACTCACCCCTGGTGAAATCTTTGATGGCTGAAGTATACAAAGCTGTAACACTGTGTTTAGAGAGTCAGTCATTTGGCATTGAGGAACATTCCTAGAATATATCTTGTCCGCTCCAAACAATACAAACAGCTTGCCTGTCTAAACCATTCATTCTGATTGGTTAGCCACAAGAGATAATCTGGTAACACTTTACGTTACAGTGCCCTTATTACTGTGCAACTACTCATGTAATTACAGTGTAACAACAAGTATATTAATTCCTCATATTACACTGAACCTAACCATAACCCTAACCATAGCCCCGACCCTCAGCCTAAGTAACCCTAAGTACATTGTAATTACAGACTGTACTGTACAAGTGCAACAAGAATTGTAATTACTCATTATTACACTGTAATGAGTAATTACAATACTTGTTACACTGTAATTACAGGAATAATTACACTGTAACAAGGTCACTGTAATGTAGAGTTTAACAGATAAACAGCATTGAAAACAGTCAATGCAGTCATAGCACTGAGATTAAATCAGTTCTTGGTATAATATTATAAGAAATATTTTGATTTGATTACCTCCATCAAATACTGCCAGAAAAGCCAAGATTAAGAAAGGAGCAGTCTTCCCCACAAATTCATACATCACACTGCCAAATGGGGCTCCAACTGTCAAATACATTTTCAAGAAAAAGTAACTGATTACACATATATTCCACTTGAAGATTTCAAGTTTGGCATGTTGTAGTGTAAGATACGTTTCACCATAACCATTTGCTATTTAACAGATGCTTTTATCCAAAGCAACTTACAGTAGTAATGTGTGCATACATTTTCGTGTGGGTGGCCACAGTGGGAATTGACCCCAAAACGTACAAGTGCCATGCTTTACCAGCTGAGCCACACAGGACCACCAGGATCTTAGAAAAGGGGAGTAACTCACTGAGAACCCCCATGGCCAGTCCACCCAGAGCGATCCCCATGGCTACGCCTCTCTCCTCATCATTTGTGTACACACTGGCCAACATTCCCAGTCCTACAGGAGAAGACGTGCTTTTCACTCGGACATTAAGATGCTAGGACAAAATGGTTCATATTCTATTGCAACACTGGGGAATTAGGATATTATTGTGAAACACAAAACACAACACACACACACACAGTACCTGCCACGGAGGAGAAAGAGGAACCAATTCCCTGAAGAGAGCGAGCAAAAAACAACAAGGCGTATGTACCTGAGAAGGCAAACACTGACAACCACCAGACACAAACACCATTACTATGACTACCCTGTGGTAAGATAAAATAAAATTTAAAGATGACACATTGGAGTTGTAAAACAGTCATGGTATGTATATTAGCGATCACTACCTCAAATATATTTCATTATCAACTGTGTGTAAAAAGTTAAAAGCTAGGACGATTCTCCTCATATCACTCATCTTGAAAAAACGTATAACAAAAAACTTGGAAGTCAATCAATCCGCCATCACAATGGCAACAATCTAATGATTTATTATTGAAATATTCAAATAGCATGGGCGACCGAGAAAAACAAATTGGTACAATTTAAGGCCAAATGGCAAACAATAATGCAGACAGTAGGGATGGGGGTGTGATGCATGCAGGTCTGGGCAGAGGAGATGTAGTCATTGTTTTTGTGTGTCTGTATGTTGTTGTTCATAAATAAGTAATACGTTCGTATAAGTTTGTTTTTGGAGAGTAAAAAAAAAGAAGGCAAAAAAATATATTATATAGTTAGAAGCTGTGTATCAAAAGTTAGAAAGTGTGTGTCAGTGTCAGCCACGCTTACTTATTGTTGAAACGAACATGATGATGAAACCAGCAAACATTGGTATGTGATATCCAACCCTTGGGGTAAAAAGAAGGATATGATTAGAACCAGGGTGTATTGTATTTCTTCATTTTCAATAAATGAGAAGTTAAACACCGTCCTAGCTAGCTGTGATTTTGTCACACACACAAAACACTTGCTGTGAAGCCGGAACATGTACCTGTTGGTCAGGGGACCCACGAAGGGGTTGATCAGAAGTTGCACCAGAGCCTTGGAGGCAAAGAGGAGTCCCACACGAACATTCTCCTTGTCCAAGAAGGCACTGTCCTCCTGGCATGTGCTGCCTTTCGCCTGGCTGGAGTTTATGGAGATGTTGAAGAGGAGGGCCTCAGACAGGTTGCTCTCAGAGCCCCTGAGGCTGTAGGAAGTGTTGTCGTAGAAGGAGTGGACCGAGGCCAATATGGAGCCCTCTTCAGAGGGCCTCTGTGTGCTTGGCTGGATGAAGGGGTCCTGTGTCGGGTGGTCCAGGGCATATAAAAAGGTTGGGATGATGGGCACTGCGAGACAGGAGAAACGACACACTTGGGTTTGGAGGAGACTGTGCACTTTAAAAGGCTGGCGGAAGGAAGAGAGGTGAACCCTTTTGTCTCAGCATCGGGGAGGCCCTTGTGTGCACAGTGGATCTACTCCATGAGGGGTAATGTGGTCGCGCTGCTCTCTGTCGCGCCAAGTTATTCTCTGTGTGCTCTAGAAGTCAGGCCAGGTAAAGGCAAATGCCACGGTCACGCTAGCTGCACTGCTGGCCCTACAGATAATATCAAAATGTGTGACGTCCCTTTTTCAATGCAGATGTCACTACCCTATCTAAGGTACACGCCTATGTGCACATTTGAAAGTGTGTGTGTGTGTGTATGTGTGTGTATGTGAGGGGTTGTCTGGACTCACCGACAACAGTAAGCAGCATGTTATCCAGTAGCAGGGCAACACACACGACCACCAGCACCAGTCTGGGGGAGCCTCTGCTCTGTCGCAGCCACTCCCGCAGCCACACCAAGGGGTTGAATAGCGGCATAGCTCTCCACGTTCCCTGGGTCAATAGCTACAGAACAGTTATCTTTTTCGGATAAGAAACATATATGCTGATTATTGAAACATATTTGACAATATCAGCATTTGTTGACCAATTGTTGACCAATGTCCCCACAATCATGTCTGTACATTATCGTTACACCGCTACATTTGAGTTAGTACTAAACTAATTACACATAAACTACTCCAGGTATACTTTTTTCATCTCAAAATATTAAACGGTAATAGTAACTGATCTGAAGGGGTCTCATCTCTCTATGTACCTCCAACGTTACCTATCTTGCCCTGCAACCACCACTCATGCACCATCCGTTTCAATTTAATAAGCTGGGATGCCCAGCCAGGGCTGCAGTAATTGTGGTAGCTAATGGAGTGAGCTGGGGGCTGCTGCCTGGATGGTCAGTCATAGTATTTCTGGAGAGACATTTGGCTCCGAGGATGGTGTTTTTTTTCTCTCAGCAATAGGATTAGACTTCCTCCAGGGCCCTCTCAGAGCCCTGCCTGCTGTGTTCTGTTCTGATCAAGGTAAAGTGCAGCCTGCTTGCCTGCTGTGGTGCTGATATACTGTAAATAAGGACTGGTCCATATGTCAAACAAACGTCTGAATGCACAGCTCCATCGTGTCTCCTTACACAACGTGCTAGTCAAGAACAAGTGTGCAAAGGGCTCAGTACACACTGTCCCGATCTTCTATGAAAATCACAATGTCTTCCAGTAACAGAGGTGATTATGGATTCAGTTTTTAATTTCTGCAAATCAGGTTTGCAGAGAATTCTAAATAGCTTACTCTTATCTTCAGACATTTTACATTACTATAATGACACATCATATAGCCTATGGTTACCATGCGTAACTGGTGGGAACAAACCAATGGATAACGTTACAATTCATGTTTGAGTCATATTCCATACATTATTTGTACCTTTAATGATTACAGAACAAATTAAAATGAACATTTCTAAAATGGATTTGCCTCATCCTTTCAGTTAAGTCTATAATAAAGTATTGATGATCCCTAGAGTCCAATTTGACCTGAGTCAAGACGTCTTACCTTCAGATACATCCTGCAGATCCACATCGGATACAAGTGGTCATCTCACTCTCCTGTTGCTCTATTTAAGTCCTCTTGTGGCTGCCCTTTTTTCATAAGGTAGACACAGCCCCCTCACAAACACACGCACGCACACATACTGTACACACACCCTGACCTGAGCTCACTCTGCGTCACAGGGGGATGTAATTGTCTACATCTGCTACTCTTTATTGAGAGGGGCGGGTGGGCCCAGCCTCAGGGCGTATAACCTGAGGCTGGTGTTGTTCACAATAAGCTTTATCTGCCATCTCAGCCACATTAACCCTTTTCAAACTGTGGAACAACCTGGTCTTTTCCCCTGGCCTGTTTGCATTGTATCTTTGTCCAAAGGGCTCTATCAACAGGTCCCTGTGGTGCTATCGTACCAGGAGGAGAGTCTTGTAAACTGTAAACAAAAGGCAGCACATCCACTCCTCACTGTGTACACCTCCGGACCTGCTGCTGGAAAACCTGGAGCCACTGTTTGTTCACTGGTTGATATGCAAATGTCATATTATCAAAGTGTAAAACTGGTCCAATTAGAAAATGAAGGATTTTGAGAATTCCTGAAATTCACACCACTCTCCCCTCTAAAGCCCTATTCACACTGCAGGACTTAATGCTCAAATCAGTTTTGTTTTTCAAATCCGTTTTGGAATACTGACTGTTCAAACAGCAAGTTACAAGTGGCCAAATAGGATTTGAGTGTGTTCAGACAGCAGTCATTTGCTGACATGGCTACGCTAGTCATAGTAACGACGGGTGTGTGCACAGTGGTGTAGGCTGATTGGTGGTGGTGCTCGTGCTTCCTATCACTCAGAAGTTATATAGCAAGCTAAGATGACAACACTTCCTGCCATGGACGTTTCCCATTTGCTTTGAATGCTCAAAATCATAGTGTAAGAACAGTTTTAAAGCCAAAAAGGATAAGATGATCCAACTTTCAAAACAAGTCCTTTTTGACTAGACAAGGCAGTCAACTAGCTAGCTAGGTAACTGTTTAGCTTCCTAGCACATTCACTAATTTGTTTGTAAGCAATTAACAAGCTAATTAGCTACCATATGTTCTTGTCAAACTCTCAACGGAGTAGCTAGCAAGCAACAATACATGCCAAATAACAGCCTATAAACCACTTGAGGGCAAATAAATCAGATTTGACCATTCAGACACAAGTCACCTGGCCAGGAATCAGATTTGTATCTGACTTCAAACCACCTTCGAAGGTGGTTTGAAATGTGACTTGAAATATCTAATTCCATGTGCTTTTTGGCTGTATAGACATCAGGAAAAATAACAGATTCGAATCGGATTTGCAAAGAAATAGGATTTGAGTCACTTCAAACTGCCAATGTGAACATGGCTTAAAAGTACCATGTGAATCTAAGAGGGATAACTCCTCTATAGCTTGAATTATTTGCTTTACATAAATGATAGTCATGTACTGTTACTATATTTCTGTCAGCTTGAAATGTACTTATTACTAGTAGAATTAGTGGTGTGCAAGGCTTTTATTGGGGATGGGAGTATAGGTCCCTCCCTATCTTTTCCCCTTATGTTTTGACAACTGAAATTCACCTGAAACTGAGCAGGTGCCATCGCCTACTAGCTCGAGGGTAGGTTTTTAAAAAGGCAGACCTGAATCAAACAGCCCTAGGTGAGCTGCCTGGACCAATGCATGTTCACTCTCCTGTGTGCGCATGTGTGCACATCATGTAAAGAGAGAGAAAGAGAGAGAGAGAAAAATCTAAATCAAATTGTATTTTTCAGATGCGCCGAATATAGCGCGTGTAGACTTTACCGTGAAATGCTTGCTTACGAGCCTTTCCCAACAATGCAGAGTTAAAAAGAACAAGGCAGCACTCTCCCCCTTGGACCAATTAGTGACAACACTTCAAACTAGACTATATTGATAGTAACAAAACATGTGCCCGTTATAGCGCCACCGTGTGGTCGATATGAAGGTTCTTGCATATGTTGCTGTTTGCAACATCTTTACCAAATGTTGGTACAATAAGAATACCTGTGACTGATTTATATGCCTTTATGTGCCAGACCATGCCCACGTTAATGTCTATTGCTTAATAACCATGTTGTTTTAGGTACTAGTCTGGAAAATATTGCGTTGAGAGACCTTTGTCCATATATGCCACATTTCAAGGTTTGTGCAGATCGGTCATTCAGTGCCAGAGGTGTTTTAAGTGTTTTTCACAAAATTCAAAATCGCAAAAATCCATCATGTCGGACCTTATGGATTCCTGAAGCAAATGTGTTCCTTGTGAGGAGAGGGACCGATGTACCGCATTTCATGACTTTAGGTCAAATGGGGTGAGGGGCGTGACATTTAATAGTTTGAATTTTCAATCGCTTGTTATAGCGCCACCATCTGGCAAGACACATCATTCACCCAAGTTGAGTCAAAATCAGGCCAGTGCTGTCTGAGATATCTCATGTGACGAACGTACGAACGTACGAAAGTACTAATGGACGGAGACAGATCCACAGTCCCCTCCCCGATTTAATCGTGGGGGACAGTAAAATAAGAAAAATACAAATAGTAACACAAGAGGAATAAAATACACAATAGTTATGACTGTAAGTCGCTTAGGATAAAAGCATCTGCTAAATGGCATATTATTTTGTTATTTAAGCTATATACAGGGTGTGCCAGTACCATATCACTGTGCAGGGTACTAGGTATTTGAGGTAAATATGTACATAACGGCAGGGTAAAGTGACTAGGCATCAGAATACATAATAATAAGAGTAAAATAAATCACAGAGTAGCAGCAGCATATGATGATTGTGAAAGTGTGTTTTTACCCCCCTTTCCTCCCCAATTGGTAGTTACAATCTTGTCTCATCACTGCAACTCCATAACGGACTCAGGAGAGGCGAAGGTCATGCGAAACATGACCTGCCGAGCCGATTTGCTTCTCAACACGTTGCTCGCTTAACCCAGAAGCCAATATGTCAGAGGAAACACTGTCCAACCGAAATCAGCTTGCAGGCGCCCGGCCCGCCACAAAGAGTCTCTAGAGCACAATGAGCCAAGGATATCCCCCCGGCCAAACCCTCCCCTAACCCCCATGGGGCTCCCAGTCATGGGATCGAACCCGAGGCTGTAGTGGCACCTCAGCACTGCGATGCAGTGCATTAGACCGCTGCGCCACCCGGGAGGCTAATGTGTGTGGGTTTGTGTGAGAGTGTCAGTGTCAGTGTAATGTGTGTGAGTGAGTGTACATATAGTTTATATATAGTTTTGTGAGGGTGCATAAAGTAAGTGTAAGATAGGGTCAATGCAGATAGTCTGGGTAACCATTTAATTAACTATTTAGCAGTCTTATGGCTTGGGGGTAGAAGCTGTCTCGGAGCCTGTTGGTCCGAGAGCTGATGCTCCAGTCTATGGCTTGGGTGGCTGAAGTTTTTATTTAAAATCAAAAACAAATGCAGGCCTTCCTCCCACGCCGCCTGATATAGAGGTCCTGGATGGCAGGCAGGTCGGCCCCAGTAATGTACTGGGCTGTCCGCACCACCCTCTGTAGCGCTTTTATGTCGAGGGCATTGTATTTGCCATACCAAGCGGTGATGCAGCCAGTCAAGATGCTCTCGATGGTGCAGCTGTATAACTTTTTGAGGTTCCAAGGACCCATGCCAAATCTTTTCAGCCTCCTGAGGTGGAAGAGGCACTGGTTCACGGCTGTGCGGGTGTGCATGGACCATGTTCAGTCTTTAGTGATGTGGACGCCAAGGAACTTCAAGCTCTCGACCCGCTCCACTGCAGGTCCGTCGATGTGGATGGGGGCATGCTCTTCTCTCGATTTTCCTGCAGCTCCTTGGTCTTACTGACTTTGAGGGAGAGGCTGTTGTCCTGTCTCATCACCGTCGGTGATCAGGCCTACCGCCGTTGAGTCGTCAGCAAATTTGATGATGGTGTTGGAGCCGTGCGTGGCTACGATAGTCATTTAGGCAGGTTACCTTGGAGTGTTAACCTGTTTAAAAGTTTTACTTACATCGGCCACGGAGAGCGAGATCATACAGTAGTCCAGAACAACAGGGGCTTGTATAAAGCGAGTATAAAAAGGCATTTAGCTTGTTTGGGAGCTCTGTGTCACTGGGCATCTCACGGCTGGGTTTCCCTTTGTAGGCTGTTATCAACTGCGAGCCCTACCACATCCGACGAGCATCAGAGCCTGTGTAATAGGATTCCACCTTCCTCCTATATTGAGAGACAGCATGTTTAGAATGGTAGAATCAGGGCAATGCTGAGCATATAGTTGGGTAATCTCATTTTCCATTGATGCACAACATTTATTTACTGTCAAACTGTCTAGCCGAGTATGAATGTGTTATTGTATGGAAAGCCAACCCTGTCATATAGAATGCAGGGGCTCGAGCAAGAGGTCTGTGCAGAACACGCAGCTTTTCATACCACACCCGCCCACACCCTGGCTTTCTGTCTGACCCCCAACAACTACCTCAAGAACTGGTCCCCAACCCAACAGCAGTCATGCAATGTTATTTTAGGCATATGTGACGCAGCTCACTTCCCAGCCATGGTCACAGCAATTTTGCACCCTATAGGCAATATCAAAACGCGCAAAAATAACATAAAAAATAGGTTAATATTACTAGAGAGTCTCAAATGGCCCATTATATTAGGCTACAGGTATTACTGGGCTATGTCAGCCAATAGGCTAGACATAGTTTGAAGAGAGTTGAGTTGAAGAGACTGGCACTTTCTCTTGAGCTACGTTTTATAGCCTAGCCTTTAAGAGTGTGGATGATCAACATTTATTTCTAGGCAATTTTTTTCTAGGCAATCATATATGTGAAGTAAATTTCCTTGGAAAGATAACTGCTACGTGCTTTTCTGCCCATGTATAGGCTATACAGTGCATTTGTAAAGTATTCAGACCCCTTCCCTTTTTCCACATTTTGTTACGTTACAGCCTCATTCTAAAATGGATTAAATAAATAAAAATCCTCAACAATTTACACACAATACCCCATAATGACAAAGTGAAAACAGGTTTTTAAAAATTGTAGCAAATGTATTAAAAATAAAAAACAGCAATACCTTATTTGCATAAGTATTCAGACCCTTTAGTATGAGACTCCAAATTGAGCTTAGGTGCATCCTGTTTCCATTGATCATCCTTAACATGTTTCTACAACTTGATTGGAGTGCACCTGTGGTAAATTCAATTGATTGGACATGATTTGGAAAGGCACTGACGTCTATATAAGGTCCCACAGTTGACAGTGCATGTCAGAGCAAAAACCAAGCCATGAGGTCGAAGGAATTGTCCATAGAGCTCCGAGACAGGATTGTGTCAAGGCACACATCTGGGGAAGGGTACCAAAAAATGTCTGCAGCATTGAAGGTCCACAAGAACACAGTGGCCTCCATCATTCTTAAATGGAAGAAGTTTGGAACCACCAATACTCTTCCTAGAGCTGGCCGCCCGGCCAAATTGAGCAATGGGGGAGAAGGGCCTTGGTCAGGGAGGTGACCAAGAACCCAATGGTCACTCTGACAGAGCTCCAGAGTTCCTCTGTGGAGAAGGGAGAACCTTCCAGATGGACAACCATCTCTGCAGCACTCCACCAATCAGGCCTTTATGGTAGAGTGGACAGATGGAAGCCACTCCTCAGTAAAATCGCTGTCAAAGGTGCTTCAACAAAGTACTGAGTAAAGGGTCTGAATACTTATGTAATTTCATATTTCCTTTTTATATTTTTAAGAAATGTGCTAAAATTCCTAAAAACCTGTTTTTGCTTTGTCATTATGGGGTATTGTGTGTACATTGATGAGGGGAAAAAACGATTTAATCCATTTTAGAATAAAGCTGTAACTTAACAAAATGTGGAAAAAGTCAACGGGTCTGAATACTTTAATTGAGACCACATGAGCACCTGATCTTGCACTTATGGACTTGAAGCAGCAAGAATGATGACAGCAGACACTTGCACTTTCTATTGAGCGATGTTTTGCAAATAGAAGATAGGCTACCTTTTATGAGGACTATTTGCAGACGGAGAGAAATAAAGGGGTAAATCAATATTTATTGAAAATGTGTAGGCGCAATGCTTGCTCACCATGGTAGCCTATGCTCGTTGCGGCTTTCCCTTTTCAATGATTATGTAATTTTTTGATTGCACCTCCCTACACTTTCCATTATCATTATTTATTTACAGACTAATCATATTTAATTTCCCTTGGAAAGATAACTGCCACGTGATTCTACGCCCATGCATAGACAGCCTACTCTATTTTATTGAGATCACACATATACTAGTCGCACTTGATCTCGCACGCCCAACTAGGAGAGGAGAGGTAAGCTACATCACTTCAAGCAGCGAATTCTGAGTTTGTGAAAAATGCGACAAAGGTAGGCTAACGCAAACAAAGCAGAAAGACGGCCGTTTCCAAATAATCCAAATAAACACAAATATTTTCATTCCAAAATTATCTGTCTGACCGCCCGCTCCCAACCGTAGCATGAAAAATGTCCACCGCGCCGCAATGATCTCTGTTGGACTCGGAACCCGCAGCTCCCAATGCAGCCCTTTAGCTCGAGCCATTGAAAGAATACAATTTGGGCGGGGAGAAGATTCCCAAATGTGTGCAGTCACAGTGACACAGATGATTCAATACATCGCCTGATGATATAGATGATTCAATATATTAATTTAACATCATGAAAAGTAGACTCATATATCATGTATTTACTGCTAGGTAAGCATTTATAAACAAAATTGACAGAATCAACCCCTCATATCAGTCCTCTGATCTAGTATATGCCTGCCCTCTCTTTGCCATGTTTGATCTGTATCTAACAAAAATATGACGAAATTGGGCAAGACAAAGGTGCACAGGATGAAGGTGTTTGACACCCTTATTTTAAAATGTCAATTTAGAGTCAAGTAGCCTACTTAGAGAATAGGAAAATATCAAAATAAGTTGGAGGTAACACATTTATTATAGCCTACTACATTATTTTTGACAGTTAATATCCTAATTATTATTATTACAGGAGTGATAGATAGTGATCTCAGACCATCAAACGGTTGACAATTCTTCAATTTACGACATTTCCCCCTATAGCCTAAACGAGTCTAGTTCTAAAGAGAGCAGCTTACCATGTGTTCCGGTCGGCCAGGATGTAGCTCTCATCCATGTCGACTGATGCGGTTTGTTCAAAGAATATTTCTTATTTATTAAAAATACGTTTCAAAGAGCCTCTGTGTGTTGGGAGGAGGGATTGGTGTGGATTTTGGTGTGCAATGAAAGAAGTAGAAGCTTTACAATGTGCGGGTGGGCCGGTGTAGGGTTATAAGTACCAGGATACACCTGCTCTGCTCAGAGAAAAGTGGGTTCGCCTTCTGCATTAGAGATTTTGCTATTTACAACTGCTGGATATTATGTGTCATTTTATTTGGTTAACAATGTGGACACCTACGATCGCTTTGCTTTTCATGTGTTCTCATTGTTTTGTGCGTAGCCTCGACTTCAATGTAATCCGATCCTCTAAAGAAGCAATGGATCCATTGGAACAGGTGAGAGCACCTGCAGTGGAGTGACCAGTGATGACCAGGCTACGTTTTGCAGCTGTGTGGATTCAAGTGTTTCAAGTGTCATTCAAGTGTCTCTTTTTTCAGATTGAAATAGGCCAATTATTTTGTTCGTAATACAGGTGCAGCCGCTAAATGGAACGGTGGCCATACAGAATAATGTGAACACGCGTCGCAGGGCAGATACATCTTCTAATCGCCATCACACCAGGTCATCTTGCCCTGATCAAGAATGCAGTCCGTCAACAGTGAGTTGAGTTGAGTGTGTGTGTGTGTGTGTGAGAGATCTAGAGAGATAAGAAAGAAGGGATCTGAGACTGTAATCACTAGGTAGTCCAATTAATTCCGAAATAAATAATAGAATATGTTTCTAAACACTTCTACATTAATGTGGATGCTAATATGATTATGGATAGTCCTGAATGAATCATGAATAATGATGAGTGAGAAAGTTACAAAGGCATAAATATATTGCGAGTAAAGTACATGACGGATATAAAATGTGATGACAGGCCTGATGGAAACAGAACATTTTTCGGTAAACTTTCCAAATGTTGACAAAACAAAATACGCTAGACAATGGATCCTATTTCTGTTACTAAAACGAATTATGCCAGAAATGTTGGTGGAAATGATATTATGTGCAAATATTGATATAATAACCATCATATCGAAGTAAATTTGGAGTCACGTGATGACATGTGTGTTCCTCCCACTACGACTCCTCGGGAAAGTATGCAGTTTATTAAACTACAGATTAAAGGTTAGGATGAACTTCACAAGGTGGTGAAAGTGCAAGGTGATGAGCTTGATGCTTCGTTCCAATAAATATCGAGAGTCACATTCTGGTGACATGATCATCGATGCTTGGCTGCCGTTCGACAAATAAAAGAATAAGCTATTTTGTCCATAATAATCTCATCATGTAGGCTATACGTGTATCTGCGCGCTGTTGGCTAGAGTTGGCACACTTGCTATATAACATAACTTTTTTTGTGAGAAAACCATCAGTAGAGTTGAAAATGCAATGGAAACCCCTTTAACTTGTATTTTTAATTCGGTACATGGGTACATGGAACAAGTCAATTTGATGGAAGCACATCTCTGGAGGGAAAATGAGCATACTGTTTTTATCCGGATTTTTGAATATTCACATGAAAACCTAGCTACCGTCCCAATACTTTTGGAGCTCACTGTTTATGGTGTGACCTTATGTGCTAAATTACCTCTTAATTAAAAACTGAAAGCGGCTATCTGCAAATCAAGGGATGGGGCTGGAGAAATGTAACCACTCTCAAATTCATAGACAAAGCTATATGTAAGTACTGACATCCATGAGATCAAAATTATTGTTTTAACCATGTTCAGGCTACACAGTGTTTGTTTACAATTACATCGTTTACAAACAACAGAGTAAATAAAACAAGCTTCCATGTTGGGTTCTGCTGGGGTACAACAGTTAAACAAAATTCAGGATGCATTTATGTTATATTCTCCGTATCACAGGAGGTTGGTGGCACCTTAATTGGGGAGGACGGGCTCGTGGTAATGGCTGAAGCGGATGTGTTTCTATGGTTTCTGTGTGTTTGATGCCATTCCATTAGCTCCGTTCCAGCTATTATTATGAGCCGTCCTCCCCTCAGCAGCCTCCACTGTCTTCAATAATAAATTATTACGTAATGAATTCCAAAAGTCCAAAATGTACCAATCACAAAGGTGCCCTTTTAAACAGAACTGCTAACATTACATTGTTTAATTGTGCTGCTGACTGTCATGTGTAAGTGGTAATGAAGTTCCTATATCTACACAGGGAAATACCTGCAATGGATCTCAGAAAAAGAACCAGAATAAGGAAATAATTGCTCCTGATGATGACGAAAACATAAGGAAAGGTAAGAAAACTTAGAAAATGATAGCCTGGTCCCAAACTGTGTGTGCTGCCTCCAACTCTTGCAGCTCTGCATGTCTGAGTGTGGTGCTAACTGTCCTGTTCCCTCTCCAGTGGCAGAGATGGCAACATGCGTGCGCTCTGGAGACTGTGAGGCAGGGCTGTGCTGCGTCCGCTATTTAACAGGGAAAAGATGTCAACGCATCCCAAAGGAGGGAGAGGCCTGCCTCCTGGGAGGACGCTCTAAATTGCGTAGAAATCTTGAGCGCTGCAACTGTGCACGCGGGCTAACCTGTCGTGCCCAGGATGAAAGCCCCAAAAAACCAAGGAGTTTGTCTACCCAAACTGAGAAAGAACATGAGGAGGGCTAGACACTCAGGCAAGAGGAGTATGGCCGAGAGAAGATGTGGATAACTTAAGCCAAAACATTTGACTCAATACTTTTGCACCATTCTTTGTTTCACAGCATTTCACTGATTTAATGTCAGAAAGGTTCATTTTGTCTTTGTTCTGTATATCAAGTTAAAGGTTAAAATGTTAAAGGCTAAACGCAAGGTAGGCTTTTGTAAATGTATATTTCATTCCATACAAGCTCCGGTGGTCTACTCTTTATTTTTATTTGAGCCCCTCACCTAATCTTATTAGCCTTCAAAAGAAAAGTCTTCACACTTCATAACCTCCTTGAGTTTAATGGCATCTGGTTCCATCTCTCAAGCACTTCTGTATGAAAATGGTCCAGACTTCATCATCACAATGTCCACTAGTGCCATCTATTGGATGAAGATTGTAAGCAACACATTGACAATATCTGAAAAGGGCCCTAGGCTAGGGTTTTGTAGCCTGGAATCCACACTGACCATCACCGTTTCAATATTGTTTCATGTCATTGATTCAGTCTGGACCTACTCCAAGAGGGACTCTTGGGCCTAAATAGAAAATAGCCAGTCCAGTCAGTGACCGATCAGAATCTAAAGGTGGGTTTAACACAAAAACCCATGTGGCAAAATGCTGCACTTTAAATGGCAGGTAGCAGATAATGGACCATGTCAGATATTTATGTAGTTGGTCCTGTATATGAACTAATATACATGAGTTCTAACTAGAAAAATTCTTTGTCAGTTTACAATTGTACAACTTATGTTCCCGCATATAATATCCACAAAGACTGCTGGAAAGGCCTGAACGCAAGATCGTAATTTCTATGACTCACACCGTGAAGAACATAACATTTTATAGCCTGTAGCCTACTGTTCATGGAGAGCTGGTGTGCATGAGTGGCACTTCACTTTTTAGTATGGAAAACAGCTGTGACAACATTGATCCTAAGATCAAAATGTTATTTGTGTAATGACAATGAATTGTGAAATAAAAAATAAAATGCAATTTCCTCAAATGATTGTGATTGTGCTTTCAAAATAACCTTCAAATGGTACAGCTATAAGATAGCTTTTGAAAATCATGTTTAAAAAAAAATCAAATTGGATGATATTTGGATGAAACCAGAAACCAGTTGAACGTAGGGTGACCCAAGTGATTTTTTTTTTACTGTTGTTGGCACATTGATAAAGTTTGATCATAACGTTACAGGTCCCCTCCCTCCTACCTGAGGAACGCTCAACTCTGTTCCCTTATATCAAGGCGGAGTTTAGTTTTGATAACTGGTCTTGGGATTTGCTAGCTACAGCATTGAGCCACCATCAGTTGATTCTTCTAAAAATGTCAATTCTCAAAACGCTTACCAGTAGCTATGTTTGTCCTGTACAACTGCGGTCCTTCCACAGGGTGCGGAAAATCATACTTTTAATAAAAACCTTTAGCGAATACAACCACCGACTTTTTCCTCGTTGCTCTTACTACCTAAGGTGAGATTCAATTGGGTCCGTGCTATCCGGAATCCTTGGGACGTATAAAAGTATGAATTTCAGCACCCCGCAGAAGTACCGCAGTTGTACAGGACAAACTTAGGTACCGGTAAGCGTTTTCAGAATTGACATTTTTAGAAGAATCAACTGATGGTGGCTCAATGTTGTTGCTAGCAAATCCTGCGACCAGTTATCAAAACTCAACTCTGTCTCGATGTAACGGCTTGTCACGAATTCAGCATAGCAAGTTTGTATGAACGTCTGGTTATTAAATGGAAAATATTGAATCCATTCTCCATTTCATTAATTTATTCACAGGTAATAGTAATATGCTCTAAACCGCTCTCGTGACAAACAAACTTTGCTGCCCTGTTTCCAATCATCCACATGGCTGGGAGAACCAAGTAAGTAAATACATTTAAAACAAAAAAAACTAAACAAAAACAATGTATTATTAGCTAACTAGCTACAGTGCAGGCTAACTCAAATGAGCTGCTAATGTAGCTAGCTAGCTATCTAGCCAACTTTACATACTGTATAGCCACAGATAGAACAATGAGACAGATATTTCACCGGATGTATAAATGTGAAGCATCTGCTTGGCGTTTCCACTCAATACCAAATATGGTAGTGAGAGGAAGCCCAGTGGCCAGCAGAGGGAGAAGATGGAAGGAGATGGATTTTGGCCTACATTCTGAAAATGTTCTCATCGATGAAACATTTGATCTTAGTACAGTTTTCTTTTCCCAAAACTATAATTGGTTATGAACAGAGTAGACTATGTTTTGTAGTCTTTAACCTTTGCCAAAGTTGTAAAAATTGCGTTGTTTAGAAGGAGTGCAAAGTCGAATTGAGTTATTGCACACGCGCACTTCACAGAGTAGACATTCCCTAACGGAAATATGCAGATATATGCTAGTTCTGCCCACTATGACTCCTTTGTTCCCATTGGAAACAACAGGCTGTGGTCTATCTTGGTTTAGTTATACAAATCTTTGGTATAGCTAGCTAGCTAAGTGAATTAAATATCACCAGCTACCTAACTTCATATTAGCTAGCTATCTTGATGTTTTTTTTCATTGTAAAAAACAAACTCCAAATTCATTTGTAGGTAGCTAGCTAACAGCCATGGAGGAGGGTGAAAGGATAGCAGCCCCAACTGTCAAAGTGTGTAGTTTTGTGTAGTTTCAGTCCCTAGAAGTGAGGACAGAGATAATACTAACATAATATTCATTGGTGTCTAATTTGAGTATAATGAAGTCTGTTTCTTGTGATGTTTTCTGTCCTCAGATACAGAGAGCTGTGAAAACCTGTCTGCAGATGATGAGGTCCCAATGAAGAGCAATGGTTCTCAGTCCTGGTCCTGGGGACTCAAACTTGTGCACTTTTTTTTTTTGACTTATTAGTCATCAACAAGCTTCAGGTGGTATTTATGTATTCATTTGTGATGCTATTCTTGATATGATACTGCTGTTGTCACATGCTACACATGCACGTGTGTGCACTTGAATCGATCTATCCAATGTTTTCAGATTTGCTATAAGGGATATTATATTTTAGTAATCCACAATGACCTGGTGATGTAAAAGTCTAATAATGACATTATCTTCCATATTCCTACAGATACCTTGTAACTGGAGATTCCTTCAAGATGATTGCCAACAGTTACCATGTAGGGCACTGCAAGGTTGGGTGACCAGGGCCATCTGCGACTGCCTCCTGGGGGAATTCAGGCGTGTGTGAAGGCTACCTGTGTCCTGCATAATGAAAGGCTCGTTTAAGAGCCATCAACATCGCAATAAGAGTATTCTTCCATTTACTTAGCTATGTCAACTGCAGTTATTCAATTCCCAGTTTCTCTCCCTTTAATTTCTACTTCTCAGGTGAGGGTGCTATTTAGGTAAGGGTGATGTCTATACAAAAATAAAACAGGTTGTTTTAAGTCACCCATATTGATTTTTTTTTTTTACAATTAGACACCCTATAACCCACACCTACACACTTGTGTATCAATCTGATTGATGGATTGTGTTGTGCAGTAAGCAGGTTCAGGCGTATAACTGGCTCCTTCCACCTTCAAAGAATAGGCAAGAGGACCAACCATGGAGAATAGTAAGACACTTCATTATTTATATAACTACGCTATATTGTTTGTCCTCATGTGTCTGTGCATGTTTTTCAGTATAAAGTATTCTGCAGCCTCTTAGCGTGGACACCAGCTGAGGCCACACACACAGACTCCTGTTGAACGCTGCCTCTTTAACTACCTTATGTTCTCAATGACAGTCTCTCTCCTTCACTTCATCCCTCTCCCCCCTTCTCCCTAAATCCTCTAGGTTATATCAGCTGTGTCGGTGAAACCCTCCCGCATCTGTACTGGCTACACAGAAGGCACAGCATGATCAGAGGTGAGAGTTCACTTGGTTGGGTCAACAGGAAGTATTATTAATGAGATGCTTTACATTGAAATACAGATAGAGATGTAGTAGTCCCATAGTTAATGATACAAGGTCAGTTTTGCATTTCACCTCCTGATGATTATGATGACTGACAGTGTTAGAATAAAAAAACCACACAAGGCTTAATCATGCTCTCTCTCTCCACTGTCTCTCGTCTGCAGGTATGTTTTGATGTGAGAGAGGATGCCAACCCCCAGTCCCGTCATCACCATCTCACCCACTCTTAAGATAACCTTTGGGCCAACTGGGGGCCCAAGGCTGGTCAGGGACACTGCTAGAGACACTATTATGTAATTGTGATGAACTGATTCATTAATCATATGCGGTCTTCCCTGTTCCTCCCTCTGTCTTTTACACTCTCTCACACCTCTCTCCCCACCTCCTCTTTCTCACACCTCTCTCCCCACCTCCTCTTTCTTCCGCTGTTTTTATCATGCACACAAGATGTGCATTGAAGTACAGATTGAACTTGTCTTTATAATATAATATTAGAATATTTATATTGCATGTATTATGTATTTATAACACTTGGATAATGAACTTCTTTCAAAAAAAGCGTTTCACATTCTCTACTGGTTGAAATGAAGTCTCTCATTTGATGAAATACTACACCTATCCTGTGTCCTCAGATCAGTGCAGATTAAGGAAATTAGATATTGCGATGAACCGGTTTTAGAGTATTTACATGATGCATGGGAAGTGTAGTGTACTGTTTTTTAAATAATGTTTCTGTATATATGAATTACAAATCAGCCTTTAACTTGTTAAATCATGTTTCTAGTCTATTGCATAGTTACAATGTGTAACCATTGATGTCCCAGGACCAGGATTGGTAAACACCATTGAAGTATATCATTATAATACATACATGCAGACACAGCATCATTCAAAGACTGGAGTTTGACACTCCTGGTAATGGAGATGACTGAAAAAAATGTCTCACAGACATTCATACCTGAACCGCACCTTTATTTGCCAAGGTAGAGTACATGATCAGTGAATATATTCAATGTACAGGCTACAATGTGGGGATCTCATGCTTGGTAATAA